AAATAGGGACAGAAGTCAGGAAGAGAGAAGAGAGAATGAAGAAGGGGAAGGAGAAAGACAAAGAGACCCAAAGAAAAAGGCAGAGAAACAGACATACATCTGGGGACACAGAAACAGACTTCAATGGTATTGACATTGTCTTAATTTTCTCAGGTAATGTATGACCACCAAGATATTCACATAAAAATTCATCAAACATTTATCTCACACTTTTGCGGTGTCAGCTGCTGAGGATATTAAAGTCAGCAAAACCGATAGGGTTCTGCCCTTTAAGAGCTCACATATCTAGCAGGGAAGCAAGACATTAATCAAGTAATCACACAAATAACCATTTGTATTAGTTTCCTATTGCTGTTATAACAAATCACCACTAATTTAGAGGCTTACAACACCTGTTTATATTATCTTACAGTTCTGTAGGTAGGACAGAAGTCCGACATGGGTCTCACTGGGCTAAAACCAGCAGAGCTGCATTCCTTTTTGGAGGTTCTTTTCCTTGCTCCTTTCCAGCTTTCAGAGGCCACCCACTTTCCTTGTCTCATGGCCCTCTTCCTCCATCTTCAAAGCCAGCAGCATTGCTCACTCTGAACCTTTTGTTCCTAGTCACATCTGCCTGTAACTCTCCCTCTGTCTCCCCCTTCCTCTTTTAGGGACCCTTGTGATTACATTGGGCTCACCTGATAATCCAGGAGACTTTCCCCATCTAAAGGTCAGCTGATGAGCAACCTTAATTCCTTAATTCCTGCAGCCTTAATTCTCCTTTGCCATGTAACTCAACATATTCACAGGTTCTGCGATTAGAAGGTGGACATCTTTGGGGGATCATTATTCAGTCTACCATACCATTTAATTACAATTTGTGTATTACAGAAACTATTGGTTTAAATGGGGCTATGGCCTTCTGTGCAAAAGCACAGAAGCATGGCATTTCCTAGAACTATCCTGAGTTCTGTTCTTTGCTGCCTACGTGTGTTTGTGTTTGCCGTTTTCTTTGAGATGCCCTTCTCCTTAATCTCTACATGCCCAGATTGTAGCTATCTTTTAAGGCCTTGTTTGAACTTTATCAGGTGGAAAAATGAAAAATAAACATAGTTCAGAATAGTTCTATCTTTAGGATTCTCAATTGGTTCCTAATTGAACTTGTGAGAAAGCCACTGTATTAAAAATTAGTTCTGATATCTTAAAATATATTTTAAAGTACTCACACTGGACTTTTCAAACACTTCTGTTTGGATCACAGAAGGAAATGAAAGTAGAAAGCCAAACCCTCTAGGCACCACTGAAGAGAAACAGAAGGAAATGCCTTGAAAACAAACTTGTTCAATGGCAAAAACAATCAGATACATGCTCTTGAATCCTGCCTCTTTCAGTTAGTCATGTGACACGGGGCAAATAATTATTTTAAACCTATTTCCTCATCTGTAAAACAGGAATTATGAAAGTGACTAATTATAGTGCCTGACACATAATAGGCATTCAACAAATCTTTATTGCTATGCAAGAGAAGATTCAGAGGGGAAGTAATTTGTCCACGTTTATAAAGGTAGAAGCAGGTCCTGAAATTCTAGCACGTTAAAATCAGTGTGCTGTTTTTGAGTTCTTTGGAAATGTGTAAATTATTCATGATCCCTCTGGCACGTCTCTTCTTTAACAAGAATTGTCAGTTGCCCCTATCCTGATAGAGATCACTACACTATCACAGAGCTTTCTGTTTTGTTTCCTTGTGAATGCAGCAGCATTTATCATTTGAAATAGAGGATTTTGAAGGACTTGGGACATCAACCTGCCTTATCTGAGGAAGGCTGAATTATTCCATCATTGGCATTGAGAACCATAAAGTGGAACAGTGCTTCTAGATCCTATTGGTCTCAAGTGTGCTGAATGTGGTGAAAGAAGAAACTTAAACAAATTAAATATCCCATTTTAGAGTTGTCAAATAGGAATTTGTTTCCATGTCATTTTGGTTCATATACTGCTTTACTTCCCACAAACAGTTCTCATTTTAAAGTTTAGTTCAGTACCAATTATTCAGAAAATTTGCTTAATGTGGTCTGGCTGACTGAAAAAAAGAATTGAGATACAAGTATAATAGGAAGCATCTTAATGGAGTGGAATGAGAAGTGGAATAGAATTAGAAGACATGGGTACCCTTGGGCATCTATTCCCCTCTCTGGACCGTTTTTTTCCTGACTATAAAGGGAGAGGAATAGGCTACAGGGTCTTTAAGACCGCAACCATTTCTAGCATTCTATGATTCTATAAGCCTCTCCTACACACACACACACACACACACATACACTGAGGTATCAGAATTTAAAGGGATGTGTGTGTGGGGTGGAGGAGAGGGAGAGAGTTTGCACTTCATTTGAGCTTAGTATATCCATATCCAGTAGAGTGTGCAAGATATAGAGAGGGCAGGAAAACTTGCTAATACAATATAAGGTTTACTTTGCTAAGGATAGGGTCCAGGCAAGCCTGTATCACTAAAGCCTTTGAAGGCCAACCTCCATGCTGTATTGTTGAAAACCTACCAAGAGCTGGGAATGAACTAACAAGACTTCAAGTGATTATATTAACCACGTTTCTTTTTCTTTTTTTTTTCCTTTTTTTTTTTGTTTGGTTTTGTTTTCACTGAAATGTATTTAGTGGGTGAGACACAAGCTTTGCTACTGCTTTGCTACTGGCATGTGGGGACAAGCAGTTACAGGGAAAAAATGATCACTACTTTACTCTTTTCTTCTATTAGTTTTTGTAGCTTTGTTAAAAGATTTGACCGTTATAAAACCTTTATCTCAAAAAGTATGCCATATGTGTTGTTACAAAAAAGTCAAATAAACAAACATTGCCTCCTACACGTTGTAAACTTCATCCAGACAGACAACTTAAATATTGGCTTAATTTGGGCTTTACAGTTATGAACAATAGAATGGGAAGTCACCAATTATTTGCTTAAAAGCTGACTTTACAAAAGCTGATTTATATTTACCTTGATGTTTTGTCATGTATATAACCCAATCAGGCAACCAAGATAGAAGACTCAGATCCTTAAACATGTTTTTTCATTTTCTGCAGAGTTCCGGAGGCAGTAAGAAACAGCTCTGGGAGTGCCCCTGGGCAAAAGATAAAGGAGGTTACAGCTTGTGGAAGTGGTAATTAGAGCCAATTACAACTTGACTTATCTGCTTTGTCATTAAAATACCTGTCAGACCTCTCATTTTTCTAAACAGAGGAAAAGAAAAGGTATAGCTTAGAGGGAGAGGGTTAGCCAAAGGGAAGAGATTTTTAATTCTGTTCAGAAACTTACCATGTAACCTTAGACAAACACATTGCCTTTTGGCTTCAAACTGTGCTTTGCTCACAGTTAAACCTTAACTCTTGGAGCTGAAAAGGACCTGCAGAAATCACCTGGTTCCAGCCTCCTGCCTTCAAGAAGTAAGGTATTATTATGTCCCATTTTCCAAATGAGACATGAAAGGTCCAGATAATTTGACTAGAATATGTCTTCTGCCTCCTAAGTGCAATAGATTTGATTTTGGTCTTTTAACTGTCACAAGAAAAATGTAATTGTTCTCACGTTCCTCACAAATATGTTGCATACAGGTTAAGAGATAATAACCACAAGGCGCTCTGAAAATACCAAGGGACGTTTATAAATATAACATTACCAACAGAGATGCTAGCACTTGGAATATATGGGTTTTAAGAAAAGGTAACAGGAATGGATTTAGCCCATTGAATTAGCTTGAGTAAAGCAGCAGAATTCAACTTAGTTAAAAGGACCAAACTCCCTATCGGCAAATATGTATGAAAGATAATGGAAGTAACCAAAAATTGTGAAAGAACAGGAATGCTACTAATTTGTCATTAGATTTGAGAGAGTAAACAATGAGTGAAGTTTTGCGTGTAAAATCTGAAATCCTGAACAAAGTAGGCTTCTTGGGGAAAGTTAAAAGAAAATAAGGTTTTTCTTACAACTTAAAAAGTACACTATCCTATACAACTTCTAATGAATTTTGCCTTTTGTCCTTAAAATTGTCTGTAGTCAGGTCACTGAATGCCTAATTATCTATCTTCATGTCTCCAATCTTTCTCCACCTAACATTCTAAACCATTCAAATTGCTCCTGCCCAAATCACTATCTTTACCTGCTACTTTGAACACATCAGCCACCTCAAAAACCCTCGTTATCCTCTGTATTGAATTACTCATTCAGGATTTCAAGGCCCTCCATCAACCCACTCCAATCTAATCTGTCTCTTTCCCGATCCCTCTCTTTGTTCCTTTTATTTCAATACTACACTTTTTCCTCATATACCTGAAAGAAATCCCATCCTTGCATTTGATAAGTCATCTCTCTTCACCTTTATTAAAAATCAACATATATTTGATGTGAGGACTATAGGGAGGGGGCTGAGTCTATTTAATAGGTACAGAAGTCTCTTAGTCATTTTATATGATTAGCTAAAGGAGATTGCAGCTACTATGCTCCCCCTCCATTACGTGCTTCTCTCAGGGAGAAGTGAGGGCATAATGTTCAGGATTAGAATGTGGAAGAGTGCTGCTGGGTAGACTGCTTGGAATATGTGGCAGTTCTGAGTATTAACAGAGAACCTGTGGTATTTTAGGATTTGTCTCACCTTTTCATTCCTTCAGTTAAAGCTTTATCTTTATTATCTTTAGTAAAGGCCTCAATTTATATGCAGTCTTCCTTGTCACACCTTCCTTGGTGAAGGTGTGCAGTGGTCAATCTCAGATAGACAGATCCCTAGAGTGAGGGGAGGAAGAGTGATTTCCAGTTAGCCAAGTAGACACAATGGTGTCAGGAAGGTTATTCCAAAGAGAGGGTGGCAGGATATATTGTAAAGAAATTTTATGACAGTACATACTCTGGGGGTACAACTCTCAGGTGGGGATGGGATGGGTCATTCTTTTATTAGATCCAACATGAGTGTTGTGGGCAGAGTTTGGTTACCTGGCAGATATTGAGCTTAGAAACAATATATATTTTGGATCTTTTTATTCACTTCCATATAACAGCATATATAAAATGTTGCACAGACAAAAAGCATTTCTGAAACTTGGTCACTCCTTTGAGACTGGCACAGATTACATACTTTTGAAAAAAAATCAAATGGTAGAATAATATTCATCTCTAAAGGTACGTATAATTTGGAGATAGCCAAAAGTCACTTGAGACTAAGAATGGTGAAATAAGGTGGGTAATAACCTGGACATAATTTTTAGTGAAATAAGCATGTAAAAGGATGACCTATTTTACTGTTAAAGTATCTCACAAAATGCCACCCTCAAAGGAAACAATGGTTACTAGGATACATAAATAATTGTTTTTAAAGTTTTGGTTAGGGTACAGAAATATGTATCTTATTTTATGATACTAGTGGGAAAATGGGCATAGCTAAGGGAAGACTACAAAATATTCAGCTTCTTTGGGGGCCAGGTAATAAGGTTTCCATCAACTTGCTATGGCATCAGGATGGTGAGCAGTTTTTGTATCAAGTGTGCAGTGCTAGCTCCGCTTGACTTAAATGAGTGATGCAGCTGTTGGGAAACAGGAAATGGTGCTGGATTACACACAGACAACCAAAACTAACACAAACACACATAGGCTTCCTGGTATGTAAATTATTTTTGAAGTTTGAGATCTCCTTATACAGAATTTAGTATATAACAGATTCAAGAACCAAACTTCTTGACCTCCCAATATTAAATAACTAAATGTGCAAAAGAACCACCATTAAATAGCACATCAAAAGCTATACATTTTCTATGAAACAATATGTGCACAGATTTTCAAAGCTGTGAAAATGCAATAAAGAGCACAACACATTTTGGTCACTTTATTAAATGACATTAAATAGTTTAAGTTTCAACTACTAAACAGCACTTTGAATGGTGAAAACACAGATAGTATTATTGTCATACTTGAATGCTTTTCTTTAAAAACACAATTCCAGTCCTTATATATATTACAAAACAGCCTTAAAGGAAGAAGTGACATCTTTTCTACAGTACTTAAGATACTCAATACGGAACTGAAAAGCAGTCTAACAGAAACAAAGGCAAGTCTTCACAGCTGTATGATTTCAGCAGCCAAAGCTGGATGATGGACTGAAACATTACTATACAACTGGGACAAAACATATACAATATCACAATACTAAGCAAAAAACGCTTTACACCCAAAGAAATAAAACAGGTTACAAAATGTGGAGAATTTAGCAGGCAAAACTGTATTACAAGCAACATTTTAAATCGTCATTTTTTAAGCCATTGCAACTATTTAAAACATCTAAAACAAATATAAAATGAGCCTTTTAGTATCTTATTGATGTGATTTTGTCTTTAAATATTTGTTAAAGCTTGATGTTATACTCAAAGTACATATTATGTAGCTAAAATGTCAAGTGAGAAGAGTGTATGCAAAGTGGTCCAAGTTTTATTTTAAACTCTCTTATTTCCAATTAATCCTTCTATGTATTATTAAGTCATACTTTCATCCACGGTGAAAAAGGTTTAGAAGGTTACCTAAAATTTTGACATCTATGTCTTTGAACAAGTAATCAGACCATGTTGAAAGTTCCCAGGTCTCGTAAATCAGGTTTAAAGTATTCTGTACTTATAGAAATACCAACTGATAACAGTTGGCCAGCGAATACTGTCTTCAAATATTTATCTCATAAATTCTTTTTCACTTCTTCTAAAGTAAAAACACATCCCCCCTCAATTAAATAAATTTGATTATATGGCTGGCATAATATCCAAATATATAGAATTTGTTAGCAATAACTCACCATGGGAAGGTGTGGGGTGGATCCACCAAACCTCAAAATTCTATATGACAAACCTAGTGCTCTTGGATGTTTTACCACTAGTTCTTTCAAGATAAAAGTGGAAATCTCTTCATCATCCAAACAACTCAAAACTGTTTTAGCTAATTAAACTCATTCTAATCCAGTGATACCTAGAGCAATCCTCCACCTAGCTTTCTTTTTTCTGGAATTCGTTAGCTGTTTCCACTACCTGTTACGTCACCATCTCAAAAATCATTTTGCCATGTTGAGTTGACTCTAATAGTCTAACAATCTTTTTCTTTAAGAAATTCAAGCAACCAAATTGTACATGAGTAAACTTATAGGTCATTTTTATAGGCCTGGATTAAGAAAAACGACAATGTGATGACTTTCTAGTAAAACCTCATAAAAGGGTATTAGATGAATTAATTTTGATCAGAAAACTGCCTCACAGATCTAAACTAAAAAAAAATATCAAGCTTTGAAATGTAATTTAATTTAAGAAAACATAGGGAAGTTGGGGAAAAAGAACATAATGATGAGAGAAAAGAGCATAGAAGCCAGTGATCCTTATCTTTAGGAGGAATTATTTCACAATACTGACAGTACTGGGAATTGTTAAAGTACATTCCTCATGTGAACTTAAAGTCAGCAATGGTTCTGCCATTTTGATGTTGTTTATAAAACAGGGTGTGAACCTAACAACCACAATGTCATCCTTAACCTCCTAAAATGCTAGAACTTGATTTTGTTAGTCCACATCCCACTGCCAGCAACAGGATGAAGCACTAGCACTGGCACCAAGCAGTTAAGAGATGTGCTTTGTTTTAGTGCCAGGGGAGAGAAAAATCATGTGTGGAAGATAATCCACGACCCTGAAATTTTACCAGTAATTATTTCAGCACATACAACTGAAAATAAAAATGGCAGAAAGACTAAAGAAGAAAAAAGAATTCTCTTCTTAGGCTATACTTAAGGCTGTTTATACAATGCTAATATAACTGCAAGACTCCTCCAAGTTTTAGAGCAGTAGTATTTAAGAATATTGCACACAATTCTGTGTCAAAGATAACCCTTAGTTTTTAACTTTCAGTCACAGAGATGATATAGAAGGAGCCCAGTTTTAGACTTCAGTCAAAAGAATATTAAAACCATTTCAATCACTTTAGTCAAGAAATGGATTAAGTACAAAAGTATTTCATAACTGGAGGAATCAACTCTAAGAACTCAGCTGTGTGTTTTTGTATGTAAAGAATGAATATATAAATCTGTATTCTTTCATAAATTCATTAATTTTATGACAATTTTATGGTCGCTAAAAGCAGGCATAAAAATTTAGAGAGGAAATCTGTGGAGTTGTTACTGTTATGGAAGGACTTGTTTTCACTGAAAACAATTTGAAAGATCTTCTGTACTCAATGTGTGTAAGAAGATTCTAGGCAACATCACTGACAAATGTCAGGAAGAAATGGTATGCCCTATTAAAAAAATTTAAAACTAATATGGAAGATTGGCATTTAAGGGGACCAAACTATTTATACAGTTGAGTTCTGTTAAGTCATTGATTCCTAAAAAAATAAAAGATCTTTCTATGATTTTAACAATCTTTTAAACTTTTAGTGCAAAATCACATTGATTTCCCTTGGGAAGGTCCTGGATTTTTGCTTCTCATTGGGGGTGGTGCACGCTGTAATGGTGGTGGCTGCATACCACCAGCCACTGACTGATACATTCCTCTCATATCAATCTGCTGGTAGTTAGAAGGATTCATGATTAAATTTGGAGGCTTTGGCATCATGAGGTGACCCAGTGTTGCTTGTTGATAAGTCATTTGTTGCTGTTGCTGCTGATTGTACTGCTGCTGGAGCCTTCGGTTCATAAGTATTCGCTGAACGCAGCTGATTAACTAAAGAGAGAAAAGGGAGCTGTTACAGTGCGTGACCTGTCTCAAAGAGGCAGTATCAAGTTTTGAGTTAAAATCAATTTGTTAAGGGGGTACCATACCAAAAGGAAAACACATTATTGTTATCACCATTACTAATTTGATGGCATTCACAGAACCATTACTGTAGAAACCGGTTAGTAACACCGTTTAGGGCTAAATTCTCTTAATGACTTGACTATTGTAGTGCAAGCAGCATTTAGATTAGTTTCCATAGTAACCCGGCCTGCACTGTGATTAGTCTCAAGTATTAGTTACAGCACTTTTTGTCAAGTCTCCTTTCTTTGTCATTCTTTTGAATATTTCACATGATGACAGACAAATAAACATTTTTAGTGACAAACACCAAAGGGAAAAGGCACTTGCAGTGGGAATAATTCCTATTTGGAATGTCTCAAATTTCCCAAGATAATTTAAAACCACATAATTCTACAGTGCTTTCTAAGTAAAATTCATGCCACAGAAATTGATTCCCTGATGTCAAGAGTTGAAATTTCCCAGTGCAAGGCAGATGGCTGGCAAATGACCGTGCTGGGAAAGATGAGTAAGGATCCTAGAATATGTTAGCCTTTTAGAGAATTACACAATTTAGTAGGAACCTGTGTCATACATCATTTATAGTTCCACTTTTTACTCTCAAATTAAACATATTAAAAAGTATACTTCTTTGGGGAAGTTGTTAAAAATAGTAAATGTGGTAAAAAGTCTGGCAAAAATTCCTTTTTAAGTGTCCAGAATATATAAAATAAAATTATATAGAAGAGATCTTATACAAATTTGAAGGCGACCCATTTTGGAAGTTGTTACTCCTTTGCAACAAAAGACATTACCTTTATTTGACATTACTAGGTTTCTGGATAAAATTTCTTCTGGGAATAACCAGTGACCATCCATCAGCCCATATGAGGGATGGTTACTGACAGAGATGTCACACAAACCCATTATTATAAATTCAAGAAAATTAAACATAACCTAGAGATAGTACAAATTCTTACCATCTGTTGTTTTGTCAATACGTCATTGTAGATTGCTTCTCTTCGCTTAACATCAAGCTCCTGGCTGGCTTGTCTACTTAATGCTAACGCCTGTACCTGGGCCTCAGAGAGATTCATGTTTTCCTTCCACTAAAAGAAAAGTATCTATTTACTCCTTATTGCAGTAGAATTGAGGAAAAATAATTAAGGTACTTAAAAGCAGGGTACTAAGTTGCCCACTGTTGTACAAGTGTTGGTTATCTCTGCAATAAAACTATCTGGATTTAATTTGTGCAACTGGTAATTAAAATATGTTTATGTAAGCAATGCATACATTTCTATGATTAATTAATTTCCCAGTTCTTAGATTTTACATTTCTCTTTTGTGTCAACATCTAGGTAAAACTGCTGAATTACAGCTTGGCACTATTATTCAGTTTACTAGTATTTTGCATATCAAGTTATAAGAATTATGCTCTTTTCCTCAAAGAAGTAGAGAAGCAAACAACAATTAAAAATTTCTTTAAATAGTGGGGGGAAGAACACAAGTTGCAAGTTGGAGTATGACAATTGCCAATTAACTTACTACAGCTGAAATTATATCTTCAAGAGGCTGAATCCTCACTGCTGTCACACTGTTTGTTGCTTCCACAACTTTTTCTCTTCCTTGATTAATGAGGTCCTACAAGAATGCAAGAAATAATTTTATCAGGGCATATAAAAGATGGAATACTTTTAAAGTATAGGGATCCTTTCTCTTGCCAATTTATACCACCTGGTTTAAAACTTGTTAAATAATTGAAAAGAACAGCAAAATTCAGCATCAATAAAACAAAGTAAAATTCATCAGTGAGGGTCTTGTTAGGAAGATAAAAGTCTGGGGTTTATTGCCCCAATAATTTAATAATTTAAATGACTCCATAAGCACATTTTAAAAAGGAAACCACAGATTCAATTAAGTTATTAAATTATTAGTATATTAAAACCTAATCTTTCTTATTTAACTCATAATTGATTCTAGTTTTCAATAATTTATTTCATAATACTGTGCATTATCATATACTTAATGCTGCACTAGGATGTAAATCAATGTGTGTATTTATGCTACTTTCAAAAATTAAGCAAGTAATTTGTTTATTCAAAATATTTCATAACTGAAAAAAGTGCTATTTCCCTAGCTAGTCAACTGCCCTATTGTCCCTTAATTAAAATAATTCAACTACATTAATTCAAGGCCTGATTCCCTTGTGCTCTGAACAAACCACATTTTACTATACTATGCTGGTTCAAAAAGGTCAACAAATAAAAGAAAAATTTCTTAGTCTATTCAGAGGTAATCTTTTGGAGAATGTGATATTCCTGCATAGGGAACCCTCAACAACAGGGCACTTGAAATTGCCTTTAATTCAAGTTAAACTACTTTTGTACTTCACAACTTACCTCCAGCTGTTGATTACTCATTGCTGACAGGGCTCCCAAATTGAAAGGAATATAAGGAGTTTGAGAGTTGAAACTGACAGGGGGTAAATTGGTCCCAGTTGGTATGTTGAAACGCATGGTCAGCCCCTAAAAACAAAAAATTATGCACTTCCCACATTGTGATTTAAAACTTGAAATTCTACATCACCTACTGGTTTAGAAAAAATCCACATTCTCAGATCTAGGAAATTATTAACACTCTTTCACACACAAACAAAACGCTCTTTTCACCCGAAACCAAGATCTTATTACATAGAAAGCTTTAACCCCTAAAGGTGTACTCTTTTTCTGGTAATTCCCACAGAATGGGGCAACTCAGAGAATTCTGATGAGACTCCTAAAATCACATTAACGTGAAAGAAGTTTGGTACAATGAGTTAGGAGTTTAAAAAGGATTCAGGTATTAGGATAAGGTTTCCCATGCTCAGGCACATTTTTGCTCAAGGGGCTTGGTGTTTAAAACAGACATGGAACTATTTTAAAGATGCTGCTGGAGACTGACATTAATGTCCAATAATGGAGTATTTTTGTGTTCTGATATTCAGTCAAAATTTAGATTTCATGGTATACATGCTAAAGCAATAATTACTCCTACCTCCAAACTCTAAGCTCCTGTATGTCTGCTACTACAGTGAGGGTGTTGATGGAAGTTAAGTGATGCTAAATATATAGCTTCCCACTAATCTCTCAATTTAGCAAGTGCTAAGCAGAAATGAGGTTACTATGCTTTAAGGCGAAAATATTTTCTTTTCTCCTCTCCCCCCCGTCTATCACCAAAGGTAGCCAAAGCCCATAAACAGACTCTCATACTTGGGGACTCAGTTCCTAAAGATTTCACTATATTATTACCTGTTCCAAATCTGACCCTTTTCTCACTCACTACTCTTTCAAATGACTAACATAAAAACAAAAACCAAAAAGCAATCCAAATGAACTACCTTCTTCTCTGCTTCATACTCAGCCCAAGCTGCTTTTCTTTCTTCTTCAGTCAGCTCTTCTTCTTCTTTGTGGTCCAAAAGAGAATCATGTTCATGATATCCTACAATGTGTTCTTTATGTATCTGAAGAAGTTCTGCAAGTATGGTGTCCTGTTTAAAGGGGTTGAAATAATAGAGAATTATTTTCTCCCTCTGGATCATATCTCCATAGTTCTCTGGTTTACTATTAGACTAAAAACTAGAAACTGGCCCACATACATATTCTGATGTATATGATAAATTACCTAGAAAACATTCACTATACATGCAGTACCAGCCTTTATGTAAGAATTTCATGTTTATAGAGCATGTTTTAGGGGTTCAATTTTTTAATGACTGCTTTTCATCTTTCAAGGTTTTCTTCCTCCTACTTTTTTTCTAATTTTTTCATATCGTTTTGTTTTGTGCTTTGTTCTGAGTTGATAATAAATGCTAACGTAAGTCTGCTTAACTCAGATTACACTGAATGCCTATGCTAAAAATCATGGCTATTCCTGCTTATACAGATTTAACAACTTTATTTTCACAATCACTTTAGCTACCAAACACTATACTAACAAAAACCAAATCTAAATTAATCAAAACAGCTACAGGAACATACAGTCCTTATATTTCAGTTGTAAGAAAGTCAAAAATAAATTATACTGTAAGGGTGCAAGGATCAAATTTAAACTGATATAAACTGTTTATCAATTTATTATCATAGTGTCTTTTTTAAGTCATGATGTCTTAGTATTTTAAAGTAAAAAGATTAAGTAATTATGAGAGAGAGACACAAAGAGAGATTTAGGGGGTAAGGAGTTAAAGTGAACCATAGATATGTTACTTGCTAATAAAAAATTAAAATATTCACAAGTTGTTTATTAAGAAATCAAAGATGAAAACCTCGATATATAAAAGGCAAATTAATTCACTTTACAAAAGGATTTTCCATACCTTCTAATAGCAAGTTCCCTTAGAACACACTTTCTAAACTTAGCGTGAATTTAGTCAAGGAACATAAATAATTACTGGTCAAAGGAAGCTACAGGGAGGCAAATAGCACATTAAATTTAAATTAAAAAAAGAGCAAAAAACCAAAAAAAAAATCTACATCTAATAATGTTTAATGCCTCCATGAGTTTTAGCATAGACAAAGCCCATATTTGAATTTTGTCTTTACATCTTCAACCATACTTAGAGTATAGAGTCCAAAATACGGAAGGAAGTCAAATGATTGTTAAATAACTCAAGATGAAAAATTCAAATCATGGTGCCCTAAGTTTATCTCTATACAATAGCAAATGCTGATACCAATTCCAAATATTCTGATATTTGGTATCATGTTAACAAATTTTTTATCTTGCTACCCCAATAAACACTTGAAATAATCCCTTCATAATTTCATGAAAGAGAAGGGACTGATTTTCTTAATGGATACAGCTGTAATTGAGATTTTACAATTCATTTTGAATGCATATACTATTTTTTTTCTTGAAAACAGAAAATGTTAAAAGACCATACAAGCAAGAGGGCTCAAGAAAGTCTACTGGTGGAACACATATATACTAATAGGTTTAAGTTCTTTTGAAATGTTAACTAAACATTTCACTCCTGTACCAGTGTAGAAATCTGCCATCAAAGCTGACTTCTCTGGCCTATAGCATATATAGAGCACGTTTATCATCACTAGATAGATCTCCAAAGTTCAGAGTTACTGACCAGGCAGGGAGGGAGACAGAGCAGTCTGAATTAAATTCTGTTAAAAGATAATGCTTCTTTAGATGTGTGTCTCCCATGCTCACCCCCCAACCATGACTCAGGAGAGAGGTATGTAATAAAACCAGATAACACTGACTAATATTTTTAGCAAGTGACCATGCCATACAATTAGAAAAGTCAGCTGTTTTACAAAATACCAAATAAATTACAAGGTAGAAATGTTCTATGGATAGTCCTTAATTTTACTTCTGTCTGACAATAAGTGATATTCTTAACCATAGTCAAAAATCACTTCATTTCTCTAAGAAAGCAATCTAAAGGAAAGACCAAGAGAAGTGTGTGCTAGCAACTAATTTTCAGCTTTGTGATTCTCCTCATAATCCTGGATAATAACTTAATCTAGTTATGAATGTTAAATTAAACATGGATGAAATACTCTACATTCACATATATAACAGGATGATATAAAAATAGCAAGAATAAATGAAACACCCAATTCTTTAGAAATAAACACTATGTCAACTAAGTGTAGTGTTTATTTCTCAATTATAAATACCATGATTCATACCATAGTTACTTTAAAGTCTTTCCAGAAATGCATGTTTGCATTGTACATACATGCACACACACACATACACACAAACACACTCATATATACTCCTTAAAAAAATGTCTGCAATATGAGGGAGCTTTATCAAGTTAGTCCTTAGCATCCTGTAATTTCAAAGTCCAAACATATCATCTTAGAATTGGTAGAAAATGATGTCCAAGGAAGCAAAGTAACTTTTTTCCAGCTGGGACTAGAAGATAAATTATTTGGCTCCTATCCAGTGATCATTCTATCACACTATGAAGAATGACTGGATAAACTGGGAGTTCAAGATTTGCAGATACTTACTAATATATATAAAATAAACAACAAGTTTATATTGTATAGCACAGGGAACTATATTCAGTATCTTGTAGTAACTTACAGTGAAAAAGAATATGAAAACAAATATATGTATCTTCATGTATGACTGAAGCATTATGCTGTACACCAGAAATTGACAAAACATTGTAAACTTACTATACTTCAATAATATATATATATATATTTTATATATACATATATAAAATTAAAAAAAAGAATGACTGTTTTCTTGAGGCATGGTTCCTCTGTTTCCCAGATCTATTCTCTTAAAAAAAGAAAATCCCCTGAAGGATTCCAGGAGAAGGAGAAACCTAAAGTGGGTCTATTTTTTTTTTCACTTTTAACACTTCTGTTCTTTTTGAAGTTTTTTTTTAAAGCAAGCAAATGTTAACTTCTTTTTTAACATTTTTTATTGATTTATAATCATTTTG